GCCTGAGGCCCATGCCAGACGCAGCTGTCCCAGAATTGTAGGCCAAATAAACCTCTTTTCCTTATAAATTACCCAGTCTCAGGTATTTCTGTTATAGCAACACAAAACGGACTAAAACAGCAAGCAACTGTCAAGTGTACAGTAATCAGCTACTCTGGAAATTCAGAGGGGAAAAGAGGGGAAACAGAACACGCTATTGCATGTGGTATTCATAAGTTTTCAAGGCCATTGAGCTGCTCTTGCAAGGAGGAGAGATAAAATAATAGAAACATGGTAAAAGCAAAGCGTACAAGTGCCTTCTGAGGCAGTGAGCAGAACAGTGGGACAGGAGAGGAGGGCTTGCTCGGTTGAGAACAGTGACAGCCGAGGCTGGGAGGGAACAGGGTGAAGTAGAACATTCATGAGAATGGACAGAACCGCTCTAGCCGCACCATTCACAAGGCAGCAAAAGCACAGGCTGGACTCCTGACTAAGAGGCTTGTTTGGTTAACTGAGATACAATCTACCAGTGGTTAATTTATCCCCATACCAAGTCAGATTAGCACTTACATTAATTATTTAATAAATGGCTCTTGTTAATAGTAAGTACATGAAAGTATCTGATTTGTGAAGAAAATGCAAATTGCTAAATTCTATACTACGTAAGAATTATATTTGAGCATTTACATTCCTTAGATGCATACATAGATGTAAGAGTACATATTCTATCAGTCAAGTTTTCTTAGGTCTAAACAACAGAGTTTGCCTCTAACTAATATTAGAAAAGAGGGACTTACTAGAGGGATGTGGTGGACCTCACAGAATTGAAGGGAAGGCTGAAGAGCCAGGTCAGAAAGACCAGGATCCAGGAAGATACAAGGGCTTCATGGCATGAACCTTTTAAGTAGCCCTGGAATGGAAACAGTCTAAGCACTTGTTCTGTCCTGGTTGCTCTGATTAAGATGCAATGATCCAGGAGAGTCCAGTGGCCTAGCTTTGCTCATGTGCCCAGTCCTTGGCTGGAGGAAAGGTTAGCCCTTTTGTCTTACAGGCCCCCAAATACTGTACCCAACAGGGGAGAGAAAAAGAAAATGCTGCCACCAAAAGAAAGAGATGGGTGCTAGGCAGCTGGAGAAACACAAACCTCCACTATACACACATTAATTCTGGTCCCCTGTGGGAAGGAACCTACATCACACTCCTCTGGACTCTGCTGTGACTTCATGCCAAAAAAAAAAAAAAACCCAAACTTTTGCTCCAAACATACAGGAAAAATGGACAAACTACAAAAACAAACCCCCCAAATGACTAAAAGAGAACACAAAATTCCCCTTGGACCAGAAATCAAAACAAAGCCACCTGGTGACCCTGGGGTTGAGTACAACGTCCCGGTGTCCTAGTCATTAACTACCAGATGTGATCAGATACATGACTTAGACTGAGGTCCTGAAGCTCCCAAAGAGGGAACCACAAAAAGTGGACTTTTGCTAGGCTTTTATTGCTTTCCTCCTGTGGAATTAAGTAGTTTGGCTTTGAAAGTTTCAGAAGTTCACCCATCCTTTCCACATTTGTTTTCTATCTGACAATACAGGTAAAGCATGTTTAGATAAATTTAGTGAGAACTAGACAGATTAATCACAGCACTTATTTTACTATTCTTGTACTAATACTACTTTCTTCATTGTTTATAAATCTTCCCTTTCATGTCATTGCCCTCCTTTAAAACCATTAACAGGGCCGGCCCGTGGCTCACTCGGGAGAGTGTGGTGCTGATAACACCAAGGCCGCGGGTTCGGATCCCATATAGGGATGGCCGGTTGGCTCGCTGGCTGAGCGTGGTGCTGACAACACCAAGTCAAGGGTTAAGATCCTCTTACCGGTCATCTTTTAAAACAAACAAACAAACAAACAAAAAAAACCCATTAACAAACTTTTATCATCTTCAAGAATTAGAAGCCTCTACCTGGCATTCATAATACCCCCTCCATTGCCAGGACAGCTCCTTCCCTCCCTCTGCACACACCACAACTACTACTCCGGTCTCTGAGTTTACAAAGGCTACACCACACACTGGCTTCACAACTATTCTGACCTCTACTGTCTGTAAAAGCTTGAAAACTCCATGAAGTCTCTGACTGTTCCAACCCATGATCTCTCCTCTTTACCTCCAACACGTACTTGTATGGCCTTAATCATATGCTCTGCATTTTAAACATTTCAAATCTATTTCTCAAACTAAGCCCCGTAACAGGTTATATTTGAATTTCCAGTCATGAAGGCCAAAATAATGCAATGTTTCTAATAGGCATACTTTGTTTTCTACCCAAACAGTACATGATCTAAACCTAAAATGCAAAGGTATATAAACCATTTGTATCCAAATCTAAATTAACAGGACTCCATTATCCACCTAGAGTACTACAGTAATAATGTGAAAGACAAATTCAGTCACAGTTAACAAAGAGAAACACCAGAGCAGGGCAATGATCGTCCATCAGGACTGATGAGACAGCCTGCCCCACAGGTCACACAAGTCTAATCCAAGGCAGCACCTTCTTCTCTACCAGTCTACCAGCGGTAGGGTTTAGGTATACTGACTGCCCCAGGAAGGGACAACCAGGCCTGCAGGAAAATTGTACCTTATCTTCCATTGGAATAATAAGCAGTATCCCTATAATTCTCATTCAGCATGGAGTAGAAAATTGGTTTAGGATAGTCCATCAAATATGTAACTCCAAGCAACTGGGGCAGAGTGAGAACTCCATGTGTGAACATGCAAACGCACACACATGCACGTGAGCACACAGACTCCAGACAACACGGACAAGCACACCATACAAAACTGTATGTTCAACGTGAAACAATCTCAGTTAGGAAACTAGGATTATTGCCACCACCATTTATTTATCTAGTTCATAACTAAGGACAGAGCACTATAGCAGTGCTAGAAGTCCAGGAAATCCCTGCCCTTAAGGGGCTTACAATCTTATCAGGGAAATGTAACAGGCACAGAAGAAGGCCATTTATTTATCTAGTTCATAACTAAGGACAGAGCACTATAGTAGTGCTAGAAGTCCAAGAAATCCCTGCCCTTAAGGGGCTTACAATCTTATCAGGGAAATGTAACAGGCACAGAAGAAGTTGGACTATAAGAAAGCATAAGCTAACAAATGCCACAAGACTTTAGAAAGCAGCATAGTTTGTGAACACGGGATTAGGAATCACGAAAGCCAGATTCTAGTCCCAATCTGGTAAGTCATGTAAACTCTCTGGGTCTATTACTCCGGCTGCAAAATGAAGTAGTAAGATTTAGACGCTGTCTCCATCCATTTCCATCATGACTCAAGTCAAAAGCTGAGGCAAGTTTTATGGAGAAGGTGGCACCTGAGCAGGAGCTGAAGGAAGGCAGAGAAGGCATATCAGACAAGAAAAGCCGTACTGAGGTAGGCGTAAGCATGGGGGTTGGAGGGGGAGAAGAGAGACAAGGTCACGAGGAGCAATGGGAGCGAGGTAAGTTGGGTGGCAGGAAGCCAGCTGTGGTAGCACTCTGGCATCACCCACACAGGAGTGAGCTGGGTCCCCGTGTTTACATCCAGTCAGTTACAGTACATAATTCCAAAGAGTAAAAAGTACCAGACAACAATGGCGGCATTTTATCAAATGTTTCACTTGATTTCCAGAAAGTATAAAATAACACTATAGCTCTAGATTTCAAAATTGACATAAACCATCCCAATCATCAAGATGTAAACCAATTCAAAGTTTATACTTTTAGCAAACATAACTAAACCTCTTAATTCAAAAGGACATTGGATACAAACTACATTATCCCAATAATTCCAACATTTATTTTCTACCATATTCCACGCACTGTGGAAATAAAAATAAATGTGACAAGGTCTCGGCCCTTGAAGAGCCCACAGCCTGGCAGGTGAAACAAACATCAACTATGCCTACCCAGAATGTATTGTGATGCATGGTATGATCAAGGTAGGCACACAACGCTATGGAGTGAAAGGACGGACTCATCCTTTCTGAAGGAGTTTCAGCAAGGGCTCAGAGGAAAAAGTTCTATGGCTCAGGGAGCAATGACTATGGCAGGGAGACAGTCGCTGTGGGGAGGAGAGGGCTCCCAGGCAGAGCAAACATGGGCACAGACAGAAAGTAGAGCAGGAACATGGCATGTCCAGGGCCTATTACTGGGTGACAGCTAGTGATACAGAGGCTTGTACTTAGTTCTGTAAAAATAAGGAGCCACACCACCGCTCATTATTTTTAATCATCTACCACCACTGGTTTATAAGGTCAGGTAGATAGGAAAGAAAGTGAGCAGTAAGGTTGTCTATCATAAGAAGTTACTGTAAGCTCTTCTCAGCAGATTGAACTATTCAGAAGCTTACACCCCTCTACAACTTCCTTTTCTCATCCCGTCCTCTGTCCCTTTCTTCCTTTATGATCTGCTTCCCCTCTGTCCTTGAGTCTTCAAAATGGAGCTGGCACTAGAAAGGCACAAGGGAGGAGCAAACAGGATTAGAAATGCACACATATGGCTAATCAAGTTACCATGAGGTAATGGTAACTGTACTGCACAAAAGTCTGCAGATGAAGAAAACTAATTCTTTTTCAGGAGTTTTCTAAAAAGTGCCCAATTCTCACCAAAATGCTGGAAAATGTCATTCAATATGGGAAAAGTATACAGAACCCTTGTAGAAGACTCCATTTCCTAACCTATTTTTCACAAAATATCAGTGTTACAAATACAATACTTTAGGATTTCAGAACCTATCTTCACACAATTAAGATTCAACCAAAACTGCATTGTTTAGCTGAAAAAATAAAAAGATACAACATGTAAGTTCAAGTCTTAGGTTCTCAGCTACTACTAAAATATGTCAATACATGAATAAACTGCCTCGTGAAAAACATGCAGTATAAAGTAGATGCAAATAAGCCATCCCTTTAGCTGCAGACACTTAGTTTCAAATTTTTGTAACATTATAAAACCATTCTACAAAAGTAACACCTTCTTGAAATTTCATTTTATAATGAAAATAAATCTGTCATTTTATTTAACATTCATTCTTAAGTTACAGCATGTCAACACAACCTGCTTCTAATGAAAGAAACCTTAGTATAATCCTAAAAACATACATACACATTTAGTAATATCTCTACATTTCTAAATAAATTACATGCATGATATACATTAACTAATAAAGAATACCAATAAGAGAATTCAGGACATTTATTTTTCTGCATGGTGATTTAACTACTGTACAACACACACACATACACAAAACCCATAAGCAACAGTGTGGAATAGGTGGTGAGAGACAAGATAAGCCTATAATAACAATGCCTATGAACAGGCTTTTGAGGCAACTGTATTTTCAGTCCTTGACATCTTCTCACACTCACCTAGCACCACAGATGCAAGGACTTAACAGTAAACGTGTACAATATCATGCTTAAATCCTAAAGCATGCATTGAATCGGATGTATACATTGTGATCTACTCTAAGTATGCAATACATACTTCTCACTAATATTTTATACATTAAATTACCCTGCAGCATTTTGAAATTTTATCATTTATGTAAAACAACTCTTGAAAAACTTATGAAACACAGTTCAAGGTTCATACTGAATGAAGATGGTTTATGTGCATGTCAATCCACATACAAAATACCTATATACACAGATGGCACAAAGATTTGTGCAGTTGGAATCACCAGTGCAAATGCATGCATTTGAGGTACTTATTTTGTTCATGGTCAGGTATAATTATGCAGTTATTTTCTTTAAGTGCTAAAGATTTCAGACTTGATCAAATGAAAAGCTATAAGGAGTGTAAATACGAGATATTTATATAGTTAATTTCAAAGTGCTATGCTTTTAACAAACATTTATTTAACATTATAGGTTTACATATTTAGCTTAATATATTTGCCAACCAATAAATTTTCTCATTGTAAAGAGAATGACTGGTAATTATACCTGGCCAAGTGATTTAAACAGCATACTTGAAATCCTTGCAAGAACTGTAGTGAAAGAGTAAAATACTTCATTATTGCTTTATTGGACTGAGAAACCCAAAAGGCATAGATAAACAATGTTCAATGATGAAAAGTGAATACCCAGAATAGCACAGCATGCCCCCAATGACCTCTGTGCAATAAAAACTAAGCATTCTCCACATTATCAATGATGTTGGCATCCACATGGATATTGGGCTCGCCACACAAAGATGAGGGAACGAAGCGGCCAACAGTGGGACACAAACAGCTTTTTAGCTCTGGCAATTCTTGCTTCAGGCGTTCCAACTGCTCCACTTGGAATATATTTGGCTGTTCAGGCATCCAATCATATATCCTATGAAGAAAGAAACACAAAATACATAAAATAGTGAAACTTCATGGTTTACTTAAGACCTGCCTGAGTTAACCTTTCCACAAGAACTCATTTAAAGAATGCCTGGAACATCTATATTGGAGTTTTGCTTTTGTTTTGTTTTCTAAAGCAATTAAATCAGAAAACGAAATTTGTAGCTTACTAGTGATTCCTAAAGCATCTGTTCTCCAAGTCAATCAATCAGCAACACCTTAATTAACAAATAGGAAGCTATTAAGAACTGGAATTCTTACCCAGTTCTGACTTCAAAGTCACTAAAGATCAAGATGAGAAGACTGCTTCTGAGTGTGAGAACTGCCCTAAAGCTGTGCAGTAATGGCAGAAGTATCCAGAGTTGAGAGCCCAGAAAGAGCCTCAGGTGACTGATGGCAACACTGACACTACCCATTCAGCAGAGAAAGGATGGCTTCTCATGCCTATATGTGACAACCAGGAAACTATGAAAGGCACTACAAGAGAATCTTTATGACATCACAGTAGGAAGAATTTCTTAAGCAAGATAAAAAAAAATACACTGACTCTATTAAATAGATGGCATATTAAATCAAATATTTTCTGTTAATTAAAGAAATGTATAAGAGAATGAAAAGTGACCTCTGTGTCAAGGTGTCAAACAGAGCATCTAACTTCACTCTCTCCCTATACACCATTAAAAGGAAAATAAAGTAAAAAAATTTTAAACATCCACGAGTATGAGAAAAACCCAAGAGACAAAGCAACAATATTTCGGGATCTGGAAAACAGTTGAATAAGTAATTACTAAAAGGTTTTCAATTAGCTGAACTGAAAAAGCCAAATCACAAGCTGGTAACAGGAAAAGAAAAAAGGCTGAGTTAAAAGCAACAGCGAATTCCTCTCGAATTCTCCTTCTCAAAGTAAAGGGCTAAAATAGGGAGGATGGGGTGAAGGCTCTTAGTCACAGGAAGCATTCCCTTTCTCCACTTCCTTCTGCTGGAGCTGCTGCCCTCCCCCACCTGAGAGGTTTATTTTGAGAATTAAACAGGATGTCTCTTGGAATAAAGATAATAGGACCAGGTGAGGGTTTGGGTATTTTACAAAACCATCACCACTGCCACCTGCACTGAGAATTTGTAAATGGTGTATATGTACCAAATGCTAAATATGAAGGTACTTCAAAAAGTTTGTGGAAAAATTAAATTACAAGATAATATGAATCCATGAATATTTTTAAGACCCCTCGAACAAAGACACCCCTCCCCCCTACAGCTCTCTCCTCTCATTTGACTCTAAAAACCCTGGCAGCCAGACCTAGGAACCTACCCCACCCCCACCCCAGGAAAATATGTAGATTCTATGAAGAATCTGATCAGACAAAAAGTAAGGTTCTAAAACTACTGACATCAAAGATATTGCCACACAAGCCACCCAGATCACTCCACAGTGAATTCCAAGTCAACAACTCCATTCACACACTCAGAGCTTCCAACAAGCTTTGTAGATCCCAAAACCTTAACATGGGAGGTAGCCAAGGATTTCCAAACATCTGAGGAAAGCTTCCAACATGGAAGACAGCAAAGAAAACACAAGATAACTTCAAAAAGACCAAAAGAAAAAGAAAAAACCCTTAATGAATAGAAAAAAGTACACTCAGAGAAAAAAGACAGTTCTCGGAAATTAAAAATAGTAGATATGAAAAACTTGGTAGAATGGGTAGAAGGTTGAGAGAATCTTTCAAAGTGGAGCAAAAAGATAAAGATAGAAAATAAGAGAAAATAATTAGAAGTCTGGTCTAAGGTATGTGATTCAGACAAAAGGGTTTCTATAAAGAAACTAAGTCTGGAAAAATAGAAGAAATAAAAATCATAGAAATAATTCACAAAATTCTCCCCATCTTTAAGGACATGTAATGACAATAAAACAGCTATCAAGTACCCAGCAAAATGGGTAAAACCAAACCCACAACAAGACCCATCTCTACAAAATTTTATAACACTGGTGACAAAGAGACTTTCCAAGCTTCTAGAAGGCAAACAAATTACATGTGAAGGAACGGGAATCAACATGACTTCACACCG